ATTCAGCATTCTCGTCACAAGGATTTAAATCCACAGAGCACTCATCTATATCTGATGGTGCATAAAGAAAGATAACAAGAAATGCTTGTGAAACTCGCCCACCGAAATAGAACTCACAAAGACAACGTGGCCTAAAATAAATTACAATCTCCTTTACCTTCACAAGCCGTCCCGTTTCCAGTGAACCCCTGTTTGCAAGTACAGCTGTGCGAACCGATATTATTGGCACATATGGCGTTCTTGTGACAGGGATTGGTATCCGCAGAGCACTCATCGATGTCTGATGATACGGAGAGAAAGATAAAGAGAAACGACTTTATAACTCTCTGACCGACATAATAAGCTAATAGTAATAATAAGGTTTTTTACCTTCACAAGCTGTCCCATTTCCAGTGAACCCCTGTTTACAAACACAGCTGTACGAGCCCTCACTGTTGCCGCAATCAGCTTTCTCGTCACAGGGATTGGAAACTGCAGAGCACTCATTGATGTCTGATCGTAAGCAAATATATATATATATAAATTATTATGGAACTATTTGACCGAAATAACCAAGAACCCCTTGCGTCACAGGGATTTGTATCTGCAGAAAAATCATCGATGTCTATTCGAAAGGAAATATTTACAATCACGTATAATTAAAAGGAAACATTAAGTTTTGATTAAGGGTACATTTCATCTAAACCATTGCTATCGTTTGTTTGCGGCTTGATGTTGTATTATTATTATTAGTGGCTGTTAATCTCATCTGTATGTAGGCCACGGCATGATGTATTGCTGAATTAGGTCTTCCGAGATCAGAGGCCCTTAAGAAGGAATTCACGAAAAAAATACCTGTACATATTGTGCCATTTCCCGTAAAGCCTTGCTTGCAAGAACAGCTGTAAAAACCGGCGCTGTTGGAGCAATCGGCATTCACATCACAAGGACCAGAGTCAGCGGAACACTCGTCGATATCTGATGATCATTGCATACAAACGTTGATCATAATCATGTTATTTTGTCATACGAGAGAGAACCAAAGTATTAGGGCCTGCTTGTAAGACTGTTGCTAGTCAAAAGGGACGTTTTTTAACTTACAAGAAAAAGGCCACTAGTATGGCCTCCCATACCTTTACAAGAGGTTCCATTTCCGCTAAAACCTTGTTTACAAGTGCAGCTATAAGAACCTCCACTGTTCGCGCAGTCAGCGTTTTGGTCACAAGGACTGGAATCTTGAGAACACTCATTAATATCTAGAGTAACAAACCAAGGATAGAGTCATTACACATTACAAGAAGAACAAATGGAAAAAAAAAAAGAAAGGAAGAGCTCATAGCACCAATTCGTCACTACACCTCGCTTTCCAACTAAAAATACGAAAAAGGACGGCGAAATTGTTTTTTAAGTTCAAATCGGAGCAATATTGTGAATAAAAAAATTGTGATTATCTACTCCTCTAGAAGTACCTTTACAAGTCAATCCATCTCCAGAGAATCCTTCTTTACAAATACAGATGTGAGAACACATACACAGCAGACGTGACAAATAATCAAACTTTGTTCACAGTTTCAAAAGCATGTACCTTCGCATGATGCGCCATCTCCAGAAATGGGAAAAGACAATAAAAAATTCAGCTTGAAAGAGGTTAGCAAATCATGTTCCTTACCTTCACAAGTTGTGTTATCTCCGGTAAAACCTTGTTTACAAGTACAGCTGTACGAACCGTTATTGTTGGTACAAATAGCATTCTCGTCACAGGGATTGGTATCTGCGGCACACTCATCGATATCTGTCATTACACCAGTAGTAAATACGTCAAACGTGAGTTACAATTTGTTCAGCAAGGTGATGTAATCAAAGTGCTCTGTGAGCAAACTCGTGAATGACAGATGACTTACGTGATTTTTTGGATTATGTTTAAT